AGTGTGTGAGAGACAGGTCGTCTACAATAAGTCAGAACGTTGCACACGTAGAACCTGTCTTTATCTGAAACATACCATAATCTTACGTCCTTTGAATTCCAAGATGATGCAGGAGCGCCCCACTTCCTGTCCGGCTCCTCTGCGCACACACACACACACACACACACACACACACACACACACACACACACACACACACACACACACACACACACACACACACACACACACACACACACACACACACACACACACCACACACACACACACACACACACACACACACACACACACACACACACACACACACACACACACACACACACACACACACACACACACACACACACACACACACACACACACACACACTTTTAGCCAAAGCTACATACACTCAGTACTGTGGACAATCCCCACAGCAGCGATCTGGGTGTGTGTGTGTGTGTGTGTGTGTGTGTGCGTGTGCGTGCGTGTGTGTGTGTGCGTGTGTGTGTGTGTGTGTGTTGTATATGTGATGTTATATATATGATATAGCTAGTAGAGATAGTATATTAGATGTTGAATACTCACAGAGGGCGGATGAGCAGCTGGTCGCTCTCCTCCGCGGGAACAGTCGCATCACATTTTCGCTTCGTCGCCATTTTTACTCCAAAAACGGACAATTTTTCACTGAATTTTAACAAAAATAACAAAGAGTTTATTTTTCTGCAGCGCGCGGTTCAAAAAGTGAGGCTACTGCGTCACTTCCGTCCCGTGCAGAAACCCCTCCGTGTAGAAACCAGAAACAGCAGGAAGAAACTCTGGTTCCTCCTTCATGGCTGTATGGAGAGAGGCCACGCCCACTTCCCCATCAACGGAGCTCTGCGTGATTGCGTCATGGCTGTATGGAGAGAGGCCACGCCCACTTCCCCATCAACGGAGCCTAAGAAACATCACAAAAAGAAAAAGTATCTTTTTATTCTGTAAAGGGAAATTTGCCAATGTTATTTTCCTTCAAGAAACTCACTCTAAAGATGAGGATGCCATTTGTTGGTCCAACCAATGGGGAGACAAAGTGTACTTCAGCCATGGCCCTCCCAAGTCAGCAGGGGTCGCCATTCTACTAAAAAAAAAAAAAATTATTTATTTATTTAACCTTTATTTAACCAGATAAAAACATTGAGATAAAATCTCATTTTCAATGCTGACCTGGCCAAGAAGGCAGCAACGTTACACAGAACACATAACACAAACATATAAAATACAGAGAACATAACTAAGAAAACAAAAGAGGAAAAAGCAGTCACTACATTGTGCACATTAGGACAATAAAAAAGTACACTACTTGTTACTGCAAGAGCAGCTGGTGGTGAGGACTTCAGACAACTTCAATTTAAAACATGAAATAGAGACAAGTGCCATCAGTTTAAGGCGTGATTGAAGGTCATTCCAAGACCAAGGACCATAATAAGAAAGACTCCTTTCTCCAGCCTCAGTCCGTACAGTAGGAACCTGGACCCGTATCCAGGCACTGGATCTGAGGTTGTAAGAGTCACAAACTGGGGCAAATCTGACACATATGTAGAGTGGAAGCTTACCTAAAATGGCTTTATACATTAATAAAAACCAGTGCTGCATCCTACGCATTGTAAGTGAGGACCATCCAGTTAGGCTATACAGTGTGCAGTGATGAGTCCTATAGGGTGCATTTGATATATAACGCAGTGCAGCATGGTAGAGTGGGTCAGGTTTGGCCAAAACAGTGGGACAGGCAAATCTATAAATGGTATCACCGTAGTCCAGCTGGGACAGGAATAAGCCAGAGACCAGTGGCGAGCCGTCAGGGCCCTCTAGGCCCTCTGTGAGGGCCTAAGATATTCCAAAAAAATAATATTTAAAAACATTTAAAAAAAAAATTTTTTTTTTTAAATATATATTTTTTTAATATTATTTTTGTTATATTTTTCATTAGTTTTACCGAAAAAAAACTTGATTTAATTGTATTTAAAATAACATTTCCAAAGAAATAAATCCTTCGAATCTGCCTGTTCAGTCTCTGTTGAATGTGAAGGGTTACATGAAAGAAGCTCGTCTGGCCCTCTCTGCGATTCACAGAGGGTTGCTATAGTAACTGAACGAGAGAGTAATGTCAAATGACAGTACAATTGACCAATCATATCTTCCCTCTAAATGGGTGGGTTTTATTATCGCGGACTTTATGACAAGTTGTGCCCGCTGTGAAACTTTTCTTGTTTCCATAGCAACAACAACTTCCTGTCAACAGCGTGAACTCGCCTTCAAAATAAAAGCATGCCAAATTACACTTAAGACATACAACTGCAACGAAAGTAACAAACACAATGCAATATCATTTTCAATGTCAAAGAACACAAATGGGGCTTCCCAGGTGTTGTTTTGTGTGGTAGAGGGTCGCTGTCATTGATGCGTTTTGCACCCTGGGCCGTTGTTTTGATATTCCGCTGAAGTATACGCTGTGACGTAATAACTCTTTTTTTTTCTCTTCACAAAGACATTTGTAATATTCCACTCAAATCAGAAATAAAATACCTGAGGAAGCTCTGCGTAAGTTCAACCAGGAAGACCGTCTTTACTCTTCATTCACTATTCCCATGTAACTACTCTCTCTCCTCTCAATAAGTGATCGGGGGCGTCACTCCAGCTTAACCAATCACTTCGCTCTATTCCCAAGAGCCTATCATAGCGCTCCACTAACCCTTTTAAATCTGCTCTCCCCCTCTGACAGCTGTCATTTCAGGTGACTCAACGCAACCCTCCTCCACCCCTTTTCACCTCCTGTCCCTCAATCCAGGGTCAAGCTAAGCCCCTCCCCTTCAGACCGACCCCAACTATCCATTCACCACCACCAGGGTCAAGCTCCTCCCCTTCAGACCGAACCCAACTATCCATTCACCACCATCAGGGTCAAGCTAAGCCCCTCCCCTTCAGACCGAACCCAACCATCCATTCACCACCAGGGTCAAGCTAAGCCACTCCCCTTCAGACCGAACCCAACTATCCATTCACCACCACCAGGGTCAAGCTAAGCCCCTCCCCTCACCACCAGGGTCAAGCTAAGCCACTCCCCTTCAGAACCGAACCCAACGATCCATCACCACCACCACCAGGGTCAAGCTAAGCCCCATCCCCTTCAGACCGACCCCAACTATCCTTCACCACCACCAGGGTCAAGCTAAGCCCCTCCCCTTCAGACCGAACCCAACTATCCATTCACCACCACCAGGGTCAAGCTAAGCCCCTCCCCTTCAGACCGAACCCAACCATCCATTCACCACCAGGGTCAAGCTAAGCCACTCCCCTTCAGACCGAACCCAACTATCCATTCACCACCACCAGGGTCAAGCTAAGCCACTCCCCTTCAGACCGACCCCAACTATCCATTCACCACCACCAGGGTCAAGCTAAGCCCCTCCCCTTCAGACCGACCCCAACTATCCATTCACCACCACCAGGGTCAAGCTAAGCCCCTCCCCTTCAGACCGAACCCAACTATCCATTCACCACCACCAGGGTCAAGCTAAGCCCCTCCCCTTCAGACCGACCCCAACTATCCATTCACCACCACCACCAGTTTCTAGACCCCGGGGGGTTTCATCGGATCGGTTCTCCCCTCCCGAATGATACTCCTGCACAACGGGGCCTAATCGCCAAAAACTCCATTACATTCATTTGTGTATCTCTGCATTAAATATGTGTTCTTACATCAAAACCGTCTCTCCTGATTGAACTAAAGACAAGAAGCAAAGTCAGTCTTTGAACATTGAAAACAAATGAAAGGAATGCAAGGCTAAGTTAAATTCATGGCTCCAAAGAGACCTTTCAATACTTGGCCGAATATATCTGACAAAGATGGAATCCTTGTCAGATGCATTTACCCAGCCTACTCTAAAGCCATCCCAAACAAACTGATTACACCCATGAACCAAATCAATCTAAACTTCATTTGGAGAAACACATTACATGAAGAGAGGTGATGTGGTTAAAGACATTAAGGATGGAGGTTTAAAAGTGATTTTGAGTGCCTTAATGGAACTTTAAAAATGTATTGGATCAAGTCTTGGATCAAACATACTAACTCCTTCTGGGACTGTGTTCCAAATCATATATTTAATCAAACTGGAGGTTTGAGATGTCTTCTTACAGCAGACTTCACTATTGATAGTGTCATTATCAGATTTTCACAAACAGATATTGTTATACTGGAACATGTTATATGTACATAACTGTTCACCCAATAGTACTACACTTTGGAATAGTAGATATGTGTTGAACAGGAACAAATCATTATTGTATGAAAGCTGGTTTTGGTATGGTCCATAAGTGACTTCATGGATTCTGACGGCAATCTCTTGGATTCTGAACAATTCTGCACTAAACATAACTTCATAATCCTTCCTAGCACCGGAGAACGAAGAGTGGAACAGGCTAGCAAGGTGCAGGTGTGCGTCATATGAGAGGCCCCGCCTTACATTTTCCGCCAACGTTTTTGGAAATTGGTCCGTGCGCAAAGCATTGTGGGGATTATAAGACCGCGGAGGATACACATGTGCATCCTAGAAATTTCCCGCAACGAGGTACGCCGGGCTCGGTAGAATTCCAAGGATCCTGGACATTGGAACAGTCCTTCAGCGGGACTCGATGATGTAATATGCTTGAAATAGTGGCTCTGGAGCAGCTTTACTCGACATTGAGAAACACCCCCTTTCCCAATGTAAGTCAATGGGGGAAAGAATGACGCCACAGAAGCTGCAGTACCACCGTTTGGCCACTTTTATATTGTGAAAAATGGAGGAAAAGGAAAACTGATGTCTGTCAGTAAAACCAGACGCTTACACAAGGAGTGATTTCAGGAGTTTTTAATAACACTGTTATAAGATAAAAGAGTACATGAAGTCAAAGTGGATCCACATCAGACCCTCTCTCATACACAGATCAGCCGACACATCATGAACAGAGACAGAGAACACACTGGACTCTTTCTGGAGGGAAGACGGTTTACAATGCAAGTCAACGGGAAGAAGAAGTACATTTGAGCCAAATCATGGGACAGAGAGGAAGTCGTTTTTCCACCATTTGAATGATACAGAAATTGTTTACATCGTAGATAACTGTAGTTTCCAAAGAGCATCAGAATAAGGTCTTATCACTGAAATCCCTAGTATGTGGTATGGTGGAAACTCAGCAGCAACTCCTATCCAATGGAAGGCGGTGGCGTTAGCTCCAGATGTTAATGTGAGTGGGGGGAGATGGTAGAAACAACAACGTCTTAATACAAAGATTCAGTCTGGTGTCTGTCGGCTTGCAGTCGATCCTCGCTGCAGCTCACAGGGAATTACTCACTGCTTTTATTTTACAGCTTTGGATCAAAAATAAGATCTTGTATAAATTGCATAGTTTATAAAACATCATGTTTTTTTAATAAATGTAAGGACTCATAATGCTGACTCATGTCTCCATAATGCTGGCTCATGTGTCTCCATAATGCAGACTCATGTCTCCATAATGCTGGCTCATGTGTCTCCATAATGCAGACTCATGTCTCCATAATGCTGACTCATGTGTCTCCATAATGCTGACTCATGTGTCTCCATAATGCTGACTCATGTGTCTCCATAATGCAGACTCATGTCTCCATAATGCTGACTCATGTGTCTCCATAATGCTGACTCATGTGTCTCCATAATGCAGACTCATGTGTCTCCATAATGCAGACTCATGTCTCCATAATGCTGACTCATGTCTCCTCATCACTCAGTGATGAAGTGAACGAATGTCAGAGGAAACACTCCTCTCCTCGTCGGGTCTTCTTCTACGTGACCAACCTGAAAGCACAAATTACACACAAAACCTCAGAATCTGTATTTCCCGCCAGTCACATGACAGCAAATGTTTTTTAACACAAAAAGGGGCGGGCCTAGTGTTGAGGGATGGGTTTCTTGATGTACTTCCTGTTTACTCACCCACCACTCGCTGTCCTCCTCGCCCTCCACCACGATCACCTCGCCCTCCACGAACGTCAGCTCGTCAACGTTGTCCGCCAAACAGTTGTAGATCGCCTTCACCCTCTTAGGCTTCTGCTTCTACACACACACACACACACACACACACACACACACACACACACACACACACACACACACACACACACACACACACACACACACACACACACACACACACACACACACACACACACACACACACACACACACACACACACACACACACACACACACACACACACACACACACACACACACACACACACACACACACACACACACACACACACACACACACACACACACACACACACACACACACACACACACACACACACACACACACACACACACACACACACACACACACACACACACACACACACACACACACACACACACACACACACACACACACACACACACACACACACACACACACACACACACACACACACACACACACACACACACACACACACACACACACACACACAGTGTTACTTTACATGACTCATCACAGGGTCTACACCCAGCACTTCTGCTGTTAGATAGACACAAAATGACACACAGATATAATTATAAAACTCAATTCAAAGATACGAAGATACTTAATATAAAAAAAAAAATTATGTGGAAAAAACATCTATTTTAAAATACGGTATACTAAATAAAACTGAAATGTTACATGGTCTCATATTTAGGTCATATTGCAGTAAACAGCAGGACTTATTTGGAGATGAACTTTGTGACGGCGTCATCACTTCTGCTTTTCTGGTTGAGGTTATGAATGTAAACTAGTTCCCCTGCACTGACAACAACAACAACAACAACAGACAGTGTGTGTTTTTAATGCGCTGTCCCTCCAAGTCCACCCGTCAGTCTGTTGCGTTCAAGGACTTACGGAGAAAGTGCTCCTGGGTTTAGGAGTCGGAGGACTCTGGGGGGATGTGGGCTGTGACCCTAAAGAGAAAAATAAACAACTTCAATATAAAAACACATTCATATTGACAGGTGTGTGTGTGTGTGTGTGTGTGTGTGTGTGTGTGTGTGTGTGTGTGTGTGTGTGTGTATACCTCGTTTATCCACAGATGGTGTCCTGAGAGGAGGTCTCTGCGGAGGACGTCTCACTGATCTGAAATCAGACAAAATACAGAGGGTGATCACAGTATGAATACTACCATACAAGTATATGTAGTACACATTATACAGAGGGTAATATGGTACTTACCCGGGGGAGGATCTGGGTCCGGGGGGTCTGCTGGTCTTGTGGAGTGGGACGGGGGGCGGGAGGGGCGGGGCTTTGTAGTGGGGGGGCGATGGGATGGTGGGGGGGGGCGGCGGGGGCGGGAGGGGCGTGTTCCTGATCGACAAGGTCTTGGTCTCCAACATGCTGATCCTCCTGTTCCCGGGCGGGGGGGGAGCCGGTGGGAGCACTGTGGGGGGGGGGGGGATTTTAACAATAACATTACAAAAAAATGATGATAGATTATTTCATTCTTTATTTGGACTTGTAGGAATACATTTTTTTGTATTTGTTTTAATCTACTATTTGATTTTCAGCCTGGAAATGGGTGTGTGTGTGTGTGTGTATGTTTACATGTGTGTGTGTGTGTGTGTTTACATGTGTGTGTGTGTTTACATGTGTGTGTGTGTGTGTTTACATGTGTGTGTGTGTGTTTACATGTGTGTGTGTGTTTACATGTGTGTGTGTGTGTTTACATGTGTGTGTGTGTATGTTTACATGTGTGTGTATGTTTACATGTGTGTGTATGTTTACATGTGTGTGTATGTTTACATGTGTGTGTGTTTACATGTGTGTGTGTGTGTATATGTTTACATGTGTGTGTATATGTTTACATGTGTGTGTGTGTGTGTATATGTTTACATGTGTGTGTATATGTTTACATGTGTGTGTGTGTATGTTTACATGTGTGTGTGTGTATGTTTACATGTGTGTGTTTACATGTGTGTATATGTTTACATGTGTGTGTATATGTTTACATGTGTGTGTGTGTGTGTGTGTGTATGTTTACATGTGTGTGTGTGTGTTTACATGTGTGTATATGTTTACATGTGTGTGTGTATGTTTACATGTGTGTATATGTTTTCATGTGTGTATATGTTTACATGTGTGTATGTTTACATGTGTGTGTGTGTTTACATGTGTGTATATGTTTACATGTGTGTGTATGTTTACATGTGTGTGTATGTTTACATGTGTGTGTGTTTACATGTGTGTGTGTGTGTTTACATGTGTGTGTGTATGTTTACATGTGTGTGTGTGTTTACATGTGTGTGTGTGTTTACATGTGTGTGTATGTTTACATGTGTGTGTGTGTATGTTTACATGTGTGTGTATGTTTACATGTGTGTGTGTGTTTACATGTGTGTGTGTGTTTACATGTGTGTGTGTGTTTACATGTGTGTGTATGTTTACATGTGTGTGTATGTTTACATGTGTGTGTATATGTTTACATGTGTGTGTATGTTTACATGTGTGTGTATGTTTACATGTGTGTGTATGTTTACATGTGTGTGTATGTTTACATGTGTGTGTATATGTTTACATGTGTGTCTATGTTTACATGTGTGTGTCTATGTTTACATGTGTGTGTATGTTTACATGTGTGTGTGTATGTTTACATGTGTGTGTGTATATGTTTACATGTGTGTGTGTGTGTTTACATGTGTGTGTGTTTACATGTGTGTGTGTTTACATGTGTGTGTATGTTTACATGTGTGTGTGTTTACATGTGTGTGTGTGTTTACATGTGTGTGTGTTTACATGTGTGTGTGTGTTTACATGTGTGTGTGTTTACATGTGTGTGTGTTTACATGTGTGTGTATGTTTACATGTGTGTGTGTTTACATGTGTGTGTGTGTTTACATGTGTGTGTGTATGTTTACATGTGTGTGTGTATATGTTTACATGTGTGTGTGTGTGTTTACATGTGTGTGTATGTTTACATGTGTGTGTATGTTTACATGTGTGTGTGTATATGTTTACATGTGTGTGTGTGTGTTTACATGTGTGTGTGTTTACATGTGTGTGTGTGTTTACATGTGTGTGTGTTTACATGTGTGTGTGTATGTTTACATGTGTGTATATATAGAATTGTGTTTATCTGTGTATTTCATCTTGTTTCCCTTCACCCTGCAGCTTGATGCCTAACAGGAGCTCTCTCTGGATGCACTCTGCTCTCTGACCTCCAGCTTCTACCAGCTTTGTTGGTTTTTCGGATATATAAACTGTCTAATTGTTGAAATAGTACAATAAATAAAAAAAAATAAAAAAGGATCTTGTCTCTGAGAAAAAGCGAAGCTAAAAAGATGTGTTTATTATTATTCAAACGTACAGAGGGAAATGTTCACGACATAGATAGATATCTAGTAAAAAAAGACTGTTGATAGCTGGCAAGAAAGCCGTCCCCAGGACAAGGTGCCAGTGGAGCTCCTGCTGAGGAACAGAGGATGAGATCGTGGAGGAACTTCATACTGTGATGCAAAACCTGAGATATCGACTGAGACCGAGAAACACAATGTGAAGGGAAAAGGTCAATGTTTAAGATTCAAACCAGCGACGAGGAATACTGACTGACTGAGAGGAGCTGGTCTGACTAACGGTCCAATGAGAATGGGACTCACTCTCGTTTATGTCCATATTGATCAGATCCAGCTCTCCTGATCGGCCTTTATAGAGAGCACCGATCAAACTATTAAGAGTGAATATCGGCCGATATTGACCGGCAGCCGATCGATCGGAGCATCCCTAATTATTACCGGACATTTTTTTTAATAAAACCGGTAATTACCGGCTAATGGAAACCCTGATCTATTGGGTCATATGTTAGATTAGATCGATAGCTGCATTGCATTGTTTATGTCCTTTGGGTTGTCATGTAGTGCACAGCTGTTGTTGTTGTAATGTTTTTATATAAAAAAAACTAAAGTGAGGAAGTGACACACTCACCGTATATGGAGGAGTTCCTCTCGGGGGTCTGAGGGTTTGGGGGGTCGGAGGACGACCGCTGTCTCCCCACGGTCTCCATGGCAACGGGTTTACCTGCGAGACAAGGGAAGTTGATTTATACAGCAGCTTTCAACACGAGGCAATTCAAAGTGCTTTACAAAAATGAAAGACATTAAAGGCCTATTATTTAAAATCCTCTTCTTCATGTCTCTTCTTCATCAACATGTGTCCCTCTTCTTCATGTCTCTTCTACATCAACATGTGTCCCCTCTTCTTCATGTCTCTTCTACATCAACATGTGTCCCCTCTTCTTCATGTCTCTTCTTCATCAACATGTGTCCCCTCTTCTTCATGTCTCTTCTTCATCAACATGTGTCCCCTCTTCTTCATGTCTCTTCTTCATCAACATGTGTCCCCTCTTCTTCATGTCTCTTCTACATCAACATGTGTCCCCTCTTCTTCATGTCTCTTCTTCATCAACATGTGTCCCCTCTTCTTCATGTCTCTTCTACATCAACATGTGTCCCCTCTTCTTCCTGTCTCTTCTACATCAACATGTGTCCCCTCTTCTTCATGTCTCTTCTACATCAACATGTGTCCCCTCTTCTTCATGTCTCTTCTTCATCAACATGTGTCCCCTCTTCTTCATGTCTCTTCTTCATCAACATGTGTCCCCTCTTCTTCATGTCTCTTCTTCATCAACATGTGTCCCCTCTTCTTCATGTCTCTTCTACATCAACATGTGTCCCCTCTTCTTCATGTCTCTTCTACATCAACATGTGTCCCCTCTTCCTCATGTCTCTTCTTCATCAACATGTGTCCCCTCTTCTTCATGTCTCTTCTTCATCAACATGTGTCCCCTCTTCTTCATGTCTCTTCTACATCAACATGTGTCCCCTCTTCTTCATGTCTCTTCTTCATCAACATGTGTCCCCTCTTCTTCATGTCTCTTCTTCATCAACATGTGTCCCCTCTTCTTCATGTCTCTTCTACATCAACATGTGTCCCCTCTTCTTCATGTCTCTTCTACATCAACATGTGTCCCCTCTTCTTCATGTCTCTTCTACATCAACATGTGTCCCCTCTTCTTCATGTCTCTTCTTCATCAACATGTGTCCCCTCTTCTTCATGTCTCTTCTACATCAACATGTGTCCCCTCTTCTTCATGTCTCTTCTACATCAACATGTGTCCCCTCTTCTTCATGTCTCTTCTACATCAACATGTGTCCCCTCTTCTTCATGTCTCTTCTTCATCAACATGTGTCCCCTCTGTGGAAAGAGACTCTGAAAGTTTCAGGAACAAAGATTTTCTCTCTTTTTGATCCATTTCTATAAAAACCTGTCTGAAAATGAGCTGATCAGATTTTGGCCACTTGATGATGTCATAACGATGTTTTGTCTTGTGTAACCATTAGCCAATCAGCAACCAAGGTAACCCCCCCCCCCCCCCTTATCACCTGAATCTCCTCCTAGAGCACCATTGAGTTCTTTGTAACCAAATCTCTCTCAGAGGGGCGTGGGGAGGGGCTCCTTATTTTCATCTAAAGTAACAGACAGAGAATCAGCACTTTGGAAACAGGGCTGAAACAGAGGGGATTATGGGTAATGCTGCAATGGTCTGTTTGGTGTTTCAGCCAATCAGAGACAGGCTCTGGATATATCTGAGACCTGTGATATATTGATGAAGAAGAAGAGAATAGGGGACCTTTAACTATATTTTGAATGCAGTACTTCTATCCAGTATATCAGCATCCTCAATAACCCCCAAAAGCACTAGAAAATTGTCAAAATCAGCCAAGCAATTTTTTAGCTATTGTCCACATAGGCTATGATGCTAATTGGGGAGTCTCCACATGTCCGTGTCCACAGTGCTGGAGTAGAGTAATAACATATCTAGACTCTTGAATCATTAGCATCACATTTAGTGTCTGTGTTTGTGGTCCCTGCCTGACCTCTGCTGGGGCCCCGGGGGGGCAGCGGGGGCCCCGGGGGGGGCAGCTCCATCATGGTGCCGTAGGTCTCGTTGTTCATCATCATGCTGGGAACCTGAGGCCTGGGTTTGTCCCGGGCCAGAGAGGCAGCGCCCGGCAGGAAGCAGCTGACCGGACGCTCCTCACGTCGCGTCGGGATGGGCTGCAGGAAACACACCGTTAAGCTTCCTGTGCAGAACTCCTTCTATCATGTGACCAAACATCAATGTGGAACATCTCCTCTCTTGTAATACTATAAGCTAAGAAAATAAACTCTGAGTCAACAAACGTTTCGTTCAGCAGGATAAACTAAGCTAAAGGAGGCTAATGTTGGGCTATAAAGGAACTACAGCACGGTCACATGACTTCATATCACCACCGCTAAGCTAAAGGTGGCTAATGTTGGGCTATAAAGGAACTACAGCACGGTCACATGACTTCACGTCACCACCGCTAAGCTAAAGGTGGCTAATGTTGGGCTATAAAAGAACTACAGCACGGTCACATGACTTCACGTCACCACCGCTAAGCTAAAGG